GGGCAGGAGGAGAGGCTGGTGAACCGTGTCCCAGGCCAAGATGGAGAAGGCACGCTCATCTTACCTTCATCTTCTCGTTTTCTGCTTCTTTTGCCAGTTGGTCAACAAGCTCAATTAAACCACCAACTATTTTCTGAAACTGGCCAATTTCTTTTGGGGGAAGAACAGAAAACAAAATGTTTTATTTTCTCTGCATCATCACTCCCTTCGTGTTCCCTTGTGGCGAGAGCAGGGCTAATGTGTGTCCGAGCGGTCTGGCGCACGGGCCTAGAGTCTTCCACCCTTGGTCTAAACCCAGAGGAGGGTGGCCAGGCGCTCAGAGCTGGAGCAGGGCACACTTGGACCTTGAGTCCCAACTGAGCCAGCCGGTGACTGTTGACCTCTGTCTGTGAGGCTCCCGGTGGCCCATCCTCCACACAGACTCCATCCAGCCCTCCCCAGGAGTGACAGGAAGCACAAGGGGCGTGTCCCCAGAAGGACGGACTCAGGACGTGAACACAGTCTCCTGACTGGCCACAGATATGGCCCTAGGTTTCAGTTAATGGTGGTGGTGGGGGCAGGGGTTTGCCCACGGAGGGCAGAGCTAATAAAGAGCTCCAAGCATTCAGGTGCTAATCTCCCATTCGCTTTTTTCAACGTCCTTGGGTGTGGGGGGACCTCCTCCTACTGAGGAGTGAACTAGGACCCAGGGAGGAGGGACGGCATGCAGTCAGAAGACTGGCAAGGGAGCCCGAGCCACCTTTCACCAGCCAAGCTCTCTGCAGATTATGGAGTGCCCAGAAGGCTCAGAAATCCCTGCTTTAACCACATGTGCTCTGTATTCGCTGCTCTCGGGTGCTTGCCTCCTGGGACAGGAGGTGTCCTGGGCATCCAGCTAAAATGGGACTTCGTTGAGTCTGTTGAGCTACTTCTAGAGACTCCAGTTAATCAATTTTCACTCCAAGTGATGGTAATCCCGCGACTGAGAAAACTGTTTCTTCCAAGAATCAGGAGTACCTAACTACTCCCACCCCCAAGCCACAGTTCTGCTTCCGTGAGGTTCAAGGTTTCTGAGAGGGAAGAAAAGCAACGATGGGACATCCTCCACATCTCACCATTTGTCCCGTTTGGTGCTCTGTGTGGGGCCACATGGGCGCATTACAGGGCGGGCAGACGAGGTGGTTAGTACATGGGAATCGATAAAGGCCAGGCGCCACTTCCAGGGAGCCACAGCTCCACTCTGGCAGGGACAGGAGCTGGGGGCTGGGCGGGGGCGGGACACAATTGGAAGCTCAAAGCTGAGTGGCACCACGTCTCCCCAAATGACACTCACTGTCCACAAAGTCCTCGCACTCCTCCTTGAGCTCTGTGGTCTGCTGGGTAACCTCAGGGTCCAATACCCGCAGCTTGTTCAGCTCATCAAAGTGCAGCCCCGCTTCACCCAGGATGTCCTTGGCCATAGCTGTGAAGAAACCAGGCCGAATCCCCGATCGCTTCCCAGCCACCCAAGGAAATGCCTGCTCCCAGGCCAGCCCCGCTCCCGCCCCCAGACACCAACGCCAAAAACCCAGATGCTCTTCCTCCAAAGGCTCCCCCTTCCCTCTGCCTCCACCTCTCTGAGCCTCACCTGTTTCCCTTCCAGCTTCCCTAGAGGAGAGAAGTTCTGCTCTGAAGGGCTGAGAGTGGCAGCCGGGAGGAGGTGTGTCATAGGAGCAAGGGTCAGGAAAGAATAAAGTCCAGCTGCTTGTCACAGGCACCGTTCATTCAACACACATTTCTTGAGTGCCTTCTACAGGCCAACACTGCTAGATGCTGGGGGTACAAAGATGAGTGGAGCATGGTGCCCGCCCGGGAGGAGCGCATAGTTTAGCTGGAGGAAGACAGACATGTAAACTGAAAAGTACACTGTGTTAAGTGCGTTTACAGAAATATCGCGCAAGCGCTGGAGAACACAGCGGTCGGCTTGGGGCGGAGGAGTCACATTTGAACTAAGCGTGAGAAGCCATGGCATATTTATCCCCAACTAGGTGCCCGAAAGGACGTGAAAAAGCTTTTCAAATACAGTACTGGAATAACACCAAAAGCCAACGAGGAAATCTGCGTGAATTAAAGATCAGAGTTAAAAAAGAAGCCGGGAGGAAGAACCTTACCCACAATGCACGCCACAGGCTACTGTATGCTTGCCTGAACTAGGACTAGAGTTGGTTCAGTCTCTCTCCAGCAGAAAACACAAAAAGGAATGACATGTCAGCAAGCACATACCAAGTAAGGAGGCCGGGGAAAGGCATTCCAATCAGGGAAAATAGCACAGACACGAGCCTGAAGTCACTGAGCGGCCTAGAATATGGAAGGACCGAGGATGTAGCTGAAGAGGTCGGCTGGCACCAGATCAGGAAGACCGTGTGCGCCAAGCTAAGGCATTTGGGTTTCTTTCTGCGGGCAGGAGAACCAGCAGGGATATCTTTTCCCCTCCCAGGCCACCTTGAACTCCTGGGTCCAAAGGATGCCTCAATTCCGGGAAACTGAAAACGCACCCTCATTCTGGCTCAAAACAAAACAAAACAAAACGGGCGCCTGGGTGGCTCAGTCGGTTAAGCATCCGACTCCGGTCATGATCTCACAGTTGGTGGGATCGAGCCCTGAGCAGGTGCACAGCCTGCCTGAGATTCTCTCTCTCTCCCCTCTCTCTCTGCCCCTCCTCCACTCACGCACACTCTCTCCCCTGCTCTCTCAAAAAACTAAGTAATAAACATTTTTTAAAAACCCTAAAAAAACGAAAAAATGAACATTAAAAAATAAAATGAACAAAAGGACACGCCCTGTCTACAAAGGGAGGCAATGCTACTTAGGGCTAGCCATTGGCTGCTATACCAATTCCAAGACCCCAGGTCTTCCAAAGGCTACCACCACCTGGTGCTGTGCCTGCCCTTTCCTCTGCCCCCACCTCCCCCAGCTGTTTCCCTTCTGGCTTCCTTAGAAAAGTTCTCTTCCACATGGGGTGACTGTGGGAGTAACTTTCCAGAGCAGGTATACCATAGGAGGAGCGATGGTTAAAAAAAGAATTCAGTCCCCCGGTTACCGGAACTGATTTTCAAGACAGCCAAAAATCCAGATTTATACATGAAATCTGACTTTTAAAGGAAAGCGCTGAATTCAAAAATTTAAAGGCAATACCACATCCAACACTGTGGGCCAACAAATGCGTGTCTACAGATTGTCTGACTGTGGCCCAGAGCCTTTCGCCTACTGGAAGGAAATAGGTTAGCATCTTCCTTTTGAAACATTTTCATCATCCCAAGCTTCCTTTTAATCAAGCTTTAAAAAAAATTTTTTTAACGTTTATTTATTTTTGAGACAGAGAGAGACAGAGCATGAACCAGGGAGGGGCAGAGAGAGAGGG